GTGATGGACATTAAGGAAGGCACATAATGTAATGAGCACTGAGTGATAAGACTGATGAATCACTGACCTCTACCTCTGAAACTAATAATATATTATATGTTAATTAACTGAATTTAAATAAAAATTACCTGTGACCATAAGACTCAAAGCATTACAATTTTTCTTTTGCATTGTGTATCACTATAATTTTGATTAATATAGGCCTGATTAAAACAACATAACTACACTTTCAAGATAATAGCTTTTCTGAGGCATAACTCACATACCATAAAATACATTCTTTTTAAGTATACTATGCAGTGGGTTTTAGTACATGGAGTTCTGGTGATGGTTAATTTTCTGTGTCCACAGATAGTTGGTCAAACGTTATTCTAGATGTGTCCGTGAAGGTAACTGTTAGATGAAATTAACATTTAAATCACTGGACTGTGAATCAAGCAGAATACCCTCCATAATGTGGGTGGGATTCATTCAAACAGCTGAAGCTCTTAGTAAGAAAAAAGACTGACCTCCACAGGGAATTCTATCAGTAGACTGCCCTCCGACTCCTTGAGCTGTGAAATCAACCCTCCCCTGGGTCTCCACGCTGCCTGCCTGCCCTGTAGATTTTGGACTTGCCAGTTGCCACGACAGTGTGACCCTTAAAATAAATCTCTACAGGAGCGCCTGGCTGGCAAAGTCAGTACAGCGTTTGACTCTTGATCTCAGGGTCTTGAGATTAAGCCCCACATTGGGCACAGAGCTTATTTAAAAAATAATACATCAAATATAATGTTGTCACAAATAAAATCTATTAAAAAAAATCCCCTCTCTATTAAAATGAGAAAGGTGGGGACCTAATTTAAAAAAAAATCCAGATTTTGGGGTCCTTGGCTGGCTCAGTCAACGGAGCATGTGACTCTTGATCTCAGGATCATGAGCTTGAGCCCCCGCACTGGGGATGGAGAGTACTTAAAAAATAAATCTTAAAAAGGAAAAAAAAGGAATCATAAAGCACATGGCATTTTGTGACTATCCCCTTTTATACAGCGTAATGTTTTCACACTTCATCCATGCTGTAACCTGTCTCAGTACCTCATTTCTTTTCTTTCTTTCTTTTTTAAAGATTTTATTTATTTGAGAGAGAGAGAGAAAGCAGGGGGTGTAGGAGAGGGAGAGGGAGAAGCAGGCTCTCCGCTGAGCAGGTAGCCCAACTTGGGACTCCATCCCAGGACTCTGGGATCATGACCTGAGCTGAAGGCAGAAGCTTAACCAACTGAGCCATCCAGGAGACCTGCAGTACCTTATTTCTTGTTATTGCCAAAGAACATCCCATTGTATGCACAGACCACATTTTGTTAATCCATTTATCCACTGTGGGAAATTTGGGTTGCTTCCACCTGTTGGCTATTATGAATATTGCTGCTATGAACATTTCTGTATAAATTTTTGTGTGGAAATGTGCTTTCAATTCTATTGGTTAGATACCTAGCAGCAGAATTGCTGGGTCATATGCTAACTATATGTTTAATTTTTTGAGGAACTGCCAAAATGTCTTCCAAAGAGGGTTATACCACTTTATATTCCCACCAACAATGCATGAGGTTTTCAATTTCTTCACATTATGCATCAATTCTTTAATTAAAGCCATCCTAGTGAGTGTGAGGTGGTATCTCATTATGGTTTTGATTTCCATTTACCCAACGACTAATGATGTTGAGCATCTTTTCACATGTTTATTGGCCATGTGTATATCTCTTTTGGAGAAGTGTCTATTCAAATAATTTACCCACTTAAAAAATCGTGTTGTCTTTTTAATATTGATTCTCAACGGTTCTTTATATGTATGGGTTTTTGGATACAAGTCTCTTGATACATAATTTGCAAATATTTCTCCCATTCTGTGCATTGTTTTTTCATTTTCTTAATGGTGTTTTTTGAAGCACAAAAGTTTTAAATATTGACCAAGTTCAATTTGTGTTTTTTTCTTTTGTTGCACAGGATTTTGGTGTTATAGCTAAGAAATTATTGCCCAATCCAAGGTCATGAAGATTTCCTATGTTTTCTTCAAGAGTTTTATAGTTTTAGCTGTTATATTTAGGTTGATGATCCATGTTAATTTTTTTAAATGGTGTGAGGCAAGGGTCCAACTTCAACCTTTTGTATGTGTATATCCAGTTATCACAGAACCATCTACTGAAAATACCATGCTTTCCTCATTCAACTGTCATGGCACTCATCAAAAATCAATCGACTATAAATTTAAGGGTATAATATACATTTTGGTAAGTGTCATGAGAAATAAAATTCTATTTGAAATGCACTTCTCTAATAAGATAAAGAAACCTGATTTCCTTAGTTAAGCATTTAAAAATAAACACTATTTTCCCGTTTATTGATTCTGACTCTTATCAGTGGTAAGATGCATTATTATTCTATTTTTATAACTACTTTATTCATATAACTAATACAGCAAAGACAGAGATGAACCGAAGTCTGGCTGACTCAAAGTCATGCTCTTTACTTATATGACGCTGGAAATCACCCGTTCAGAACAACTTACTGGCTCACTACCCTATCCTAATCATAAAATATTATTTGAACAACAAAACAGCACTGTCCAGAAAAGAAAAAAAAAAAAAATCTGTCCTCCAACAGCCTGATCTTAACCTTGTTTCACAGGGAAAAAGACCCACTACACTTGGACAGGTTTTCCCATTATTTTCTCACTTTGCAGACACTGAGTACATATTAGTCTTTGTGGGACATTAATAAGGGGATGTGGAGATAAAATCTTTATTTAAATTAAGGGATTTTTATTCTTGACCTCTTAACCACTATTTGTGCAAGAGATGTGAGAGAAATATTGGCCTATTATTCTTCCTATCTTCCTTGGAATGAACGGACATCTTCATCCCCTTGAATGAAGTTAGAGCTTCATTCTAAGACTTAAGTTAGATCCTAGCCAGGACAAAACCAGTAAGACCAAAGTGGTCATGTTTTCATTAAATGGGTCTTTTAAATGACTTCTTTTCTAAGCCTATTTATCATTATCAGATTCTAGGAAACAGCTAAATCCGCTGAGACTCTGCTTCCAGTGCTATGACATCAATGTAACAACAAAACACTCATTCAGAAGAACCTTGGCAGTAATCCCAGAGAATGTGGAACTTACTCTCAGCTTCATTAAGGTAAGAGAACTAAACCTTGGAACTTCATGCTGGAGTTAAACCATTCTCCATCCACCTAGTACAGAATAATTAAAGCAAACTAATCTTTATTGCAGAAAGTGTCGTCTATGCCTCCTCCTTTAAATACACTGCTGGTACTGGGTCTTCTGGGGAGAAAAAGGGGATTCAATAATCATAACACAGAGAAGAGTCCCACAGTCATGAAGATAGAGAGAATCATAGTTTAAAGAGAACACTATAATGCACAGGGTCTACATCTACTACATAAGTAAGCTGCTCCTGTCACCTCCAATTCAATAGGGTGTCCTGATTTCTCCTCCTTTACTTTCATTTGTACATGTATTTGTTAAAGTTCTATTATGTACCAGGCACTAGGAAATCAAAGGAGAATAAGGGAGACAAATGATCCTGCACCTGGAGCTTATAATCTAATGAGGGAGACAGATAACTAATGAGGAAACAGAGTAGTCATGGATTATAGAAAGAAATGAACAGGGTGCTGTGATATAAAGGGAGGGACCCTCTTTGATGGGACAATCAGGAAAAAATTTTAAAGAAAATGACATTTAAGTGGATATTGACATTAAGCTCATCCTTAAAGAATAAGAAACCAACCATGGGAAGAATAAGAATAGCTTTTTAGTCAGCGAGAATAATAAGCATACGGATACTCTGGTGGGAGGGAAAGGCCTTAGTCTGTTCTAGGACTGAGAGAAGACCAGCAAGACATCAAACAGCAGGTAAGGGAGAGATGGGAACAGAGAGACAGGGATGACGGGGAAGGGTGGGTCGTTGGGGACCAGATCATTCTCTCTCTCTCTCTCAAGATTTATTGGGGGGGGAGGGGCAGAGGGAGAGAAAATCCTGAAGCAGACTCCCTGCTGCGTGTGGAGCTTGATGAGCGGCTTGAACCCAGGAACCTGAGATCATGATCTGAGCCGAAATCAAGAGTTGGACATTTAACCAACTGAGCCACCCAGGTGCATCTGGGACCAGGTCATTCTTAAAAGCTACAGTAAGGAGCTTATACTTTAACAGTAAGACACTATCAGGTTTTAAGTATAATCCAGTTTAAGTTATAAGGTCATTTTTTTTTCTTTTCTGTGTGGAGAGTTGACATGGAGGGGAGCAGGAATGGAAATGGACATGTGTCAGAAGGCTGCTGCAGGAGCCTGAGCTGAAGTTAAGTGTGGGATGCAAATGAGAGTGACAATGGGATCTGTACAAGGGGGATGTACCGCAGGAATGGCAACAGCAGAACCTGGGGGGGATGGACTGGATGTGCCTCTGTCCGAACAGGAGGAATCCAGGATGACTTCCAGGTACCTGTTACTTATCTGGTAAGCTCAGCAGTAGGATCCCAGAAGTCACTATTATACCAATGCTAAACAAAGCCTTGACATTTCCCCCCAAAATGAATAGAAGGATAAATCTTGCTCAATTTTCAAGCAGATAAATGATCAGGAAAAGTAGTGGCTCTCTTCTGTTGATTATTACATATCCATACATCATCTCTTTCTGAACATGGAAAATGTTTGAAACTGAAGTGGTGAATAGCTGGGTTTTCCTAGATGACATAACTCAGGGAATCAAATGCTACAGACACAGTGTTTTTTATTATTGAAACTCGAGTAAGAAAGATTTATGTCATTTTGACTCCTAGATGGCAAAGAATTTGCAGAAATCTTCAGACTGAGTATAAATTAAATGGTAAAGAAAGAGCTCAACCTCATTGGAGATGCAGAAATAGTAAGAACACAAAGCCATTTCATCCAAACTCAAGAAATACCATTTCTTCTTAGCAACATATTGTATATATTGAGTACTCACCAACATGAATGGGGGCTGGGAACAGTCCATACTCATGCTCTCCTGGAGTGTATTCCAGCTTCTCTTTCTTTAATTGGATCAATCGGCTCTTTGGGCTGTGATCAGAAAAGAATGGAAAATAATCAGAGGCAATGAAATCTCTTCCTGTGGGTCAAATACAGAAAACAGATCCTCTGTCAAGAGTTATTTGTTTTGGGGTATCTGGGTGGCTCAGTCGGTTAAGCGTCTGCCTTTGGCTCAGGACATGATCCCAGGGTCCTGGGATCAAGTCCTGCCTCCGGCTCCTTGCTCTCCCTCTCCCTGCCATTCCCCTGGCTTATGCTTGCTCTCCCTCTGTCAAATAAATAAATAAAATCTTCAAAAAAAATAAGTATTTAACAGTGGCTTAAATTTTATTTATTTTTTTAAAAGGTTTTATTTATTTAAAAGAGAGAGACAGAACACAAGCAGGGGGAGTGGGAGAGGGAGAAGCAGGCTTCCCAGATGCGGGGCTCCATCCGAGGACCCTGGGATCATGACCTGAGCTGAAGGCAGACGCTTAACGACTAAGCCACCCAGGCGCCCCGGCTTAAATTTTAAATGCATATTTTTTGGGGAAGGGATATCAAGTACATTCATGTATTTTTAGAATCTGTATTTTTGGAATTATCTTTTAGGAATTATACATAAAAAAGAGCCATGTAGCATTTTCCAGCAGTTTTGCAAAAGGAATCTAAATTTCAGATCTGATCATAATAATTACTTTATACTTGGCCAATAATTTATAGTATGTGTGTATGTATTATTTTCAAAATTTATTATTTAAGATTTTATTTACTTATTTATTTGAGAGAGAGAGAGTGCAAGCAGGAGAAGGAGGCACAGGGAGAGGGACAAGCAGATTCCCCACTGAGTGCGGAGCCTGACTTGGGGCATGATCCCATGACCCCGAGATCACGACCTGAGCCGAAATCAAGAGTCTGACGCCTCTATTTTTTAAAAAAATCTTTTAAGTAAGCTCTACACCCAATGTGGGGCTTGAATCCACAACTCTGTGATCAAGAGTCGCATGCTCCCTCAACTGAGCCAGCTGGGCGTCCTGATGATTTATAAAGTACTTTCACATATTATCATTTATATCAATCCTATGGAGTAGGGAAGAAATGTTAGCTCTAGTTTACAGATTGGAGAACAGATGCTCTATGAAGTCAAGTGACTTGCCTTAATTTTAGTAGCTACTAAGGAGATTTAAGATTAAAAACCTCAGTTTCTTGCCCAGCTCCTACTCACTGACTACTTTTTATTTTATTCCCCAATGTCTCTACACACTTACCTCCTCTACTTGTCTAACTGGTCTGTGTTTCCAATGTTTGGTATGAGATCAGTCTTAAGACATTTCACAAATACATAAAAGGGAAAAAAAAAGGAAGGAAATAAAAAGGAAAGGAAGAAAAAGAGAGAAATAAGGGTTTCCGGAGAGCCTCACTTAGTCTACTCTGATTTTATTTTGGCATTAAGTTCCAGTAAATAAGGCAAGGCTGATGTATTTCTTTTCCCTATGAATCACAACACACTGCTTTTTAAAAAACAAGTCTATTCTATTTTGTAACAAGCAGGTATACTAATACACATTTTGCAGGTGAGAAAATTGAGGCTCCCAAAATAAGTTATTTGTAGAACCTGAAGTTCTTAAATTTGAACACTGGTTCCTTCTACTAGATCATTCATTTATTTATTCAGCAGTTACTGAGCACTCACTAAGTCCAGGTCCTGTTCTTTTCTTTGTTTTTTTTTTAAAGATTTTATTTATGTATTTGAGAGAGAGAGAGCACAAGCAGGGGGAGGGGAAGAGGGAGAGGGAGAATCAGACTCCCTGCTGAGCAAGAAGCCCGGTGGGGGACTTGATCCCAGAACCCTGGAATCATGACCTGAGCCGAAGGCAGATGCTTAACTGAGCCACCCAGATGCCCTTCCAGGCCCTGTTCTAAGTGCTAAGAGACAGTGGTGAACAAGACAGTTTACACTGTTCTTAGGTACACAGACAATAAGGAGGTATGAAAAACTAAGAAAACAAACAAAAAAACACAAAAAAACCTAAGAAAACAAAAAAAAATCAGAAAATAATAAATGCTAGGCCAATAATTAAATTGTGATGAACAGAGAGTTTAACTGGGTAGGCTTTTCTAAGGAGGTGACATTCAGTTCAGCTCTAAGTGTTACTGGGTCTTGGCAATGACAGAATGTGGGAAACGGAGGGAGACCGGGCAGAGGAAATAAATTATCTGGTAGAAGATCACAACTGGAATGGGACCAGAGAATTAGAGCAAATAAAGGGAGGCTGAAGCAGTACAGACGAGGTCAGAAATTGTGAATGAGGTCATGCCAGGTGTTTAAAGCACTGGCAAGGAGTTTGGGAAACAGTTTCAAAGAAGAAAAGCAACGATATGAGATTGTTCTACTTATATTTAAAAGCCACTTTTCTCATTTTAAAAAATCCCAAATAATAACTGTGAACAGAGATATGAAATTTTTAAAAAGATCGATCGATCGATCAATCTACCTACCTACCTACCTGAGAGAGAGGGAGAGAGAGAGAGAGAGAGAGCACACACCAGCAGGGGGAGCAGGCAGAGGGAGAGGGAGAAGCAGGTGTCCTGCTGAGCAGGGAGCCTGATGCAGGACTTGATCCCAGAACCCCGGAATCATGACCTGAGCCGAAGGCAGACGCTTAACCGACTGAGCCACCCGGGCGCCCCAGAGATACGAATTTTTTAAATCCAACTAAAAACTGTATTTCTTCATCATGAATCAAAGTCAAATAGGGTAAGAAAACAACTGTGTCTAGAACCAAGCATTCTGTATGAGAGAAAATTTGGTCTACATTTTATTAGATTCAAGATTTACCCAAGCAAATTAAATTGAGAACATAAAAGGTTCCATTTAGCGATAACAGGAATGGAAGCAAACCCCACATTTCACCCTGCTTCCCTGAGGGTCAGCAAGCAGGTGACGGACAGCGGTCAGGGAGGGCAATCCTGGGCACCCTGAGGAGAGCGAACACACAAAACTACAAAAAAATCCAGGGTCACCAGTGGAGTTGTAGTCCTCAACCTACCAAATGAAACACAAGCCCCCTTGATTGCACCTCCCATCAACTCCTGACCGATTCTCTAACAAAAACAACTTCACCCTAATTCTGCAATGCTGATGTCCAGGTCTGTGGTACTGCTATGAATAGTACAATCATGTGAGAAATCCTTTTCCTAGTTCTTGGCCATGTCTGATTTTCATTCTAATTTTAGGCATGACCACTGACTTCCTTGTTGGTGATAGTAGCATGGGACTCTCTCTCTCTCTCATGTTCCATGTGAGCTGTGCAGAGTAGTCAACGGAGAGAGAATGTGGCTCTCAGTTTGTATTGATTCTGAACACTCCTAGCCATTTTCCAAGGTATTCATTGCATGTGTGACACTAATAGTTCAAACCACTCAGGAGAAAATCTGTAGGAATGAAAGTAACCATTTCAGATACAGAACTGCCACAACATAAAGTAAGCTAAACAATAAGTTTCTGTGACAGATGTTTACTTCTGACCAGTGGCTGAAGCTGCAAAATGAGACTACTATTTCTATGTATATGTGTGTAAATGAAAAACCCTTGTGCTTTTCTTATCAAAAGAAAGTAATCTGCCTTTCATAATGTTCTATTTATAAATGCAACCCATTCAGGATTTGTGGCCAGCTTTCTCTCTCTTTGGTAATTTATTAGTTTTAATCATTTATCATTTGAATGCAATGCAGATATCAAATTCAAACAGGCAAACCCACCATCAAATGGGAGAAAAAGTATACAAATATTTAAGAAAAAATAGAAAAAGCGAGCATTCCTAATGATTGTTAATGGTTATGATATTTATCTTAAATGCTATCTATAACCATGTCTTGACTTCAGGCATTTATTACCTTATTCTCAAATCTTGTCATCTCTAATCTTGGCCCCAAGCCCCAAATAATGAAACCACTAAGATGTCTTCTTCTAAATTTCCCAGACAGCTGCTGAGTCAAACCAGGGGCTTGCGCAGCACCTTGTCAAAGAGAGGATACGGGGATTTCTGGCAGAATCCAGACTTTAATGAACATACCAGTATCCTAAAATCTGTCCTGTTTGGCAAACAAATAAGGTGAAGAGAACCTGAAAATCAAAGGAAGTTCAAGTCCCTAGGTTAACAAAAGGTAAGTCGTATTTTATTAATTTGAATTACGTTTTATCTATTGGGAATTTCTAAGTTTGGAGAAAAGCATATTAATGTTCCTATAAGGGACTGAAAGAGCTGTCAAAACTTTATCCTTTTATCAAGAAAGATTTTTCTTTCTTCTAGATTTGGAGACTCTTGTCACGTGGTGACAATCATGGCATAGGTCTTATTGGAAGAGTCTAGAGAATTTCTGTAGTATGTCTTCATTCGTTGAGGAACTTTTTTTTTTTTTTAAAGATTTTATTTATTTATTTGACAGAGAGAGACACAGCGAGAGAGGAAACAAGCAGAGGGAGAGGGAGAAGCAGGCTTCCCGCTGAGTAGGGATCCCACACGATCTGAACCAAAGGCAGACACTTAACAAACTGAGCCACCCAGGCGCCCCTTAATCAAGTTTTTGTAAAAAATAAAAAAATAAAAAAAATGCACATTAGTTGGCCTAACTAGAAAATTATTCATAATATTATATACATAATATATAATATAAAGTGCGTTTTATGTTCCTGTTTAGGAAAACAACCCAGTTTTTTCCTTCTTATGTAGAAAACAAAAGACAAACAAAAAGAAAAGAAAAAAAAACCCAGTTCTTTCCTTTATTTATTTATTTATTTTTAAAAAAGATTTTATTTATTTATTTGACAGAGAGACACAGCGAGAGAGGGAACACAAGCAGGGGGAGTGGGCGAGCAAGAAGCAGGCTTCCCGCCGAGCAGGGAGCCCGATGCGGGGCTCGATTCCAGGACCCCGGGATCATGACCTGAGCCGAAGGCAGACGCTTAACGACTGAGCCACCCAGGCGCCCCAAAACCAGTTCTTTCCTACTGTGAGTTTCTTTCCTGCATGTCTCCTTTATTTTTACAC